CCATTATCTGCATACTCTAGGGAAGGTAACACCAGGAATGGATGCTCAGCTTCCCATCTCAGAGCTTTCTTTTAGGCTCAATCACCTTCTGACCCCACAAATGAAACCATCTACTTCCATGTACTGAGTAACACAGATGATGAACATGTTACTCTCACCTTGGTTTGAAAGTTGCCTTTTCATGGAGAGCAATAAATCTTACCAGAAAATACTAAATGCTCCTGAGCTGAATCACAACAATTCTGTCTAGACTGAAATGTCTCATCTCCATTTTGTCAAACAAATTGTGTCTTGCCCATTACTGTTCACCTTATAATCCATATGGGCTTTACACAGTTCTATCAACAACAGAGCAGCCCCTGCTAATCAGCTTTCCCTCTGAAGAAAGCCTAACCAAATATAAATGATCTCAAGACATGCTAGAGAAATAAGAGCAGATATTGTGGAAATATCATTAGCCAGGCAACATACAGACTGCTAATGACAGATGGAGCAGTTGTAATAGACAAATTTTGGGATAAAAACATTTCCTTACACTGTCATTCTTTCTAATTTTCCTGTTATTTTGAAATATACTCATGTGGCATGGCTTTTACCAGAGGCAAAACCAATGACTGATCATCCAGTAATGCTCCTGATGAGAGCAATGTGTAGATGTGTGTGTACACATATGCGTGCACACATAATATTTTTAGTATGGCAGGTACCTCTCTGGAGTGTGCTGTGCAGTTTTTAGGGACATGCACACAAGTAAAGCCAGCACAGAGTAATGCAACTGAATGTACCTCTGTATGAGGTGAACGACTTACTAGCAGAGGAAAAGTTCCGTGTGAAGGGCTTCATGTCTGAGTTCTACTCTAAGAGGTCAAAAGGAGTTTGTCTGGTGGATAGGGTTATCAGGTAAAATAATGGGACACCCAGTTAAATTTGAATTTGGGGTAAATGACAAGTGACCTTTTTCTTGTATAGGTACCTCCCAAATACTGCATGGGTGTTCTGTATTTTTATTTGCAAAATCAGGCATAGATAAGAACTTTTAAAAAGTTAACAGTGGAAGAGGGGAAGATATGCACATCAATCATCTTTCCTTCTTTGTCATGAATACTGTCACTATCAGCATCAATTAACATTTACAGTATTCACATAGGGATGAGGTCCATGCTATAGGGAAGACCTATGAATTACTCCTCCCCTCTAAAACACTCAGAATATGCCTGCTTCTTCAATTGTGGACTCTTTATTCTTCCATCTTTAAGACCCAACCCAGTAATTGGCATGTGGTACTAGCTAAAAATACAGTTTTGAATAAATGAGGATGTGACATGGAACGACAATAAAGGGAGGAAATTTGGGGGGAGCAGGATAAAATGACAAAGCTGTACATGGCAGAAAATACAGGGGCCTTCAAGATAGTGATGACAGCCAAATCTGTAGTCACCTCTATCACCTATGAGCAGAACCTCTTAGCATAGTAATTCAATTAAACAGTCTCTTAGTTTAGTTAGTAAGGGTGACCTGTCCCAAATAACAGCAAAGCAAAGCAGTCTAAGCATTCTGAGTGGGTAGGGGAAGGGGAAGTATATAAAATTGGGAAACCAACACTTACTCAATTATCCATTTTAAAAAGCCACAATGAAGGCGGACAGAGCATTGTAAAAAAAAAAAAAAAAAAAAAAAAAAACCAAAAGAGAAACAAACAGTTCTGCCTAGGACGATGTAATAAGTTTTACGATGAAAGAAGTTATGTGAGATACATAAGCAGGTATCGCCTTCAGAGGCGTTTTGTACTTTATAGACTCTTTAATTATAAATATACATACATATATATATAAACATATATATTTTTATTGAGAAGTTGCAAGAATATCTTCCCACATACTCTATGTTACTCTATGGAATGAGAACTGAGTCTTGGGGTAAATTCACATTTCCTTTGAAGGTATCCTGGAATGGAAATTTTAAGTAAATAAAGTAGTATTTATTGGTCACATTGCAAAACACTTAATAGTTTTTTTTTTCTTTTTTAAAAAAGATTTTATTTATTTGAGAGACAGCACTGGAGAGAGAACATGATAAAGAGAATATGAACGGGGGGGGGCGGGGATAGGTAAAGGGAGAGGGAGAAGCAGATTCTCTGCTGAGCAGGGAGCTCACTCGGGGCTCCATCCCAGAGCCCTGAGATCAAGACCTGAGCTGAAGAAGACGTTTGACTGAATAAGCTAAACTTATTACTGTTACTAAAACTTAAGCTAAACTTAAACTGTTACTCTATGGAATGAGAACTGAGTCTTGGGGTAAATTCACATTTCCTTTGAAGGTATCCTGGAATGGAAATTTTAAGTAAATAAAGTAGTATTTATTGGTCACATTGCAAAACACTTAATAGTTTTTTTTCTTTTTTAAAAAAGATTTTATTTATTTGAGAGACAGCACTGGAGAGAGAACATGCTAAAGAGAATATGAACGGGGGGGGCGGGGATAGGTAAAGGGAGAGGGAGAAGCAGATTCTCTGCTGAGCAGGGAGCTCACTCGGGGCTCCATCCCAGAGCCCTGAGATCAAGACCTGAGCTGAAGAAGACGTTTAACTGAATAAGCTACCTGGGGGCCCCTAATTTTTTTAATGTATGTTGTTTTAAAAATAGCTCTGCCTTGGGCAGCCCCGGTGGCTCAGCGGTTTAGCGCCGCCTTCAACCCGGGGTGTGATCCTGGAGACCGGGGATCGAGTCCCGTGTCAGGTTCCCTGCATGGAGCCTGCTTCTCCCTCTGCCTGTGTCTCTGCCTCTTTCTCTCTCTGTGTCTCTCATGCATAAATAAATAAAATCTTTAAAAAAAATAGTTCTGCCTTATTAAATACTAGCTGATTACAGAAAACTAAAAAAATGAGGTAAACAAAAATACAAAAATAAATAAAAATCACTAAAAATAATAATTATTCTTATACACTTCTAGATTTCTTCTGCACATATATGCTATCAGACTCTGTATACTACCATGGAAGCTTGGTTTTCAACTACAAAGTGAACTTATCCAATGGCCAAATACATTCCCACACCACAATATTTAATGCTTTCACAGAAAGTTTCTACTGATGAATTACTTAACCAACTACCTATTGCTTAACATTTAAATTGTTTTCAGTTTTTTCTGTGATAAACTTCCCGACAGCTAAGTCTTTAAAAGATGTCCATCACTATTTCTCAGGGATAACTTCCTAGAGAAGGAACTGCTGAGTCAAAAACCATGTACATTTTTAGGACTTTTGATACATATCATCATTTTACTCTCTAGGAGAGTTGTATCAACTTACTATCCTATAGTGATAAAATATAAAAGGCTCATTTTCCAAATTATTTTTCCAGGTTGGTCATCTCATAAAATATGTGAAATCAGAATTCAGAGAAAACACAGATAGAGTAATATATGTAGTAAGTTTTCTATCCATAGAAAGCTTGTCCAAAAAGCCAGGATTTAAAAAAAAAAAAATCCCACTGTCCATAGTTTGCCTTTGGGTGCAACGAACTGATTTAGATAAGAACTTTTAAAAAAGCTAAACTTGCAATCACAGTCTGTCACATTTGTGGAACCGTGCTTGCTTTTGCGTTACCATTCTAAAATGAGTTTATTAAAAATTAATATATTTCTTTGTTAAGATAATAATTAAGCTAGCCTTGTTTTAAGATGATAATTAAGTTCCTGGGCAAAGGAATGCACCTGGCTTGAACATAACCAGAAGAAGATCATTTTTGATCAAACAAAATGAAAACCAAAAATGATGGATAGCCATCATTATCACAGTAATAGTGGTCCAGATGTGAAGTACCTCCTTAGTGAAAAACAAATAGGAATGAACAAGAACCTTTACAGCATTCAGAACCTCCAATAAGAAGAAAAGACAGCCAAGGCAATGTTTTAAAATCCTATCTAAACCATAGCTAAAAGTAAGGAAAATGCATGACACTATGAGAGAAGCTAATAAAGCAGAAAAATATTCTCCAATATACAACTTCCTTGAGGACTTCTATAACAGGTATGGGAGGCATATGAAATGTTAGGCAGCCATGGGAAGTGCTAGATGGGGTATGACCAAAGGAAAGGATAGTGGGAGAGTATCAATATTTTCTAATGACAACAGAAAACCAACGTAGCTTACTCTTCTATTTGGTAAGTGCCATGCTCAATTGACCAACTCTGCTTTTCATCTTTTTTGAGACCTGGGAAAATAAAATAAAGAGAAAATACCCAGGGTACCTGGGTGGCTCAGTCGGTTAAGCGTCTGCCTCCAGCTCAGGTCATGATCTCAGGGTCCTGGGATTGAGCCCCACATCGGGCTCCCTGCTCAGTGGGGACTCTGCTTCTCCCTCTCCCTCTGTGCTCTCTCACACTCTCTCAAAAAAAAATAATAATAATAAAAGAAAGAAAAAAATAAAATATCCAAATAGAGAAACTTAATTTTACAAGATTAGAGAAACCTAAACTATGTTATGTTCTGGTGGCCCTGCAATCAAATAATTAAAGTCATTTGGTCAATGTCTATGATTAACTCAATGAGAGAAAATGTTTGGCTGCCCAGCCAGATTAAAAGAAACACAACACATTTTTTTAAATAGATTGCTCTCTTAGGTAATAGTTTTGAATGAATGAGTGTATAGAGTCAGAAATTTCAGTTCTTTCTGAAATACTATACATCGATCTTGTTATGACAATTCTATAGGACTGGGATGGGTCATCCAGGCAACTAAGGTAATACAATGGTAATGCTTTGCTCATTTTGAAGAAAGAGATTAGCATTTCTAAAGTCAGTGTACTCACCCAAAGTCATAACAAACCTCAGAGGCAAAGGAAAGGGACTGAAACTCTGAGAACCATAAAATGAGAACTAAGAAAACTCCTCCCCACTGAAGATTATTCAGGTGTATAAGAGGCAGATGAAGGAATCCTTAAGACCTCAAACATCATTGCCAACCTTGAGTCTGGTGGATTTTTTAGCCTAAGGGAAAAAAATGAGCACTAAGCCTGATGTGATTCGCAAGTGTTTGTGGCCTGCATGCCTGGTGGGTCTGCTCATCACTGGTGTGCTCTCCCTGGACTGTAACTTGCTACATTTTCACCTGAGGAAAGTCACCTGGCAAAATCTGAGACTTCTGAGCAGTATGAGCAATTCATTTCCTGTAGAGTGCTTAAGAGAAACCAAAGCTTTTGAGTTGCCCCAAGAGATCCTATCACACACCCAGCCCGTGAAAAGATACATCAAGGAGGCCTTCTATGAAATGTCTATACAAGCCTTCAACATTTTCAGTCAGTACACCTTCAAATCCACTTGGGAAAATGATTATCTGAAACAAATCCAAATCGGACTTGATCAACAGCTGCAATACGTGGAACGATGCTTGGAGGAAGAGGAGAAAGAAGAGGATGACTCAAAAGAGATGGAAGAGGATGGGATAAACCGCTCAGAAGCTATGGTCCCCCAGCTAAGCAATCTAGAACTGAGGAGATATTTCAATAGGATAGACAACTTCCTGAAAGAAAAGAAATACAGCCACTGTGCCTGGGAGATCATCCGAGTGGAAATCAGAAGATGCTTCTACTACTACTTTCAGAAATTCGCACCACTGCTCAGGAAAAAATAAGGTATATTTTTATAATTAAAGTTCCACTTCTCTCCAACATCTTCTCCTTCATCTTCTTTTAAGAAATCATTAAGCTAGCCCTAAGCCTGTCCTCCGTTGGAGTGGCAGTGATTTAGGTAATGTTTACTGTCTCTAAAGTTGGCCTTGAGACATCAGCCACATCCACCTTTTCTAAGAGGGATGCCAACCATCTGCTGTGTACCAATAGTCTTGTTAGAAAGTTCTGAAGACAGTTTTAAAGGAAAAAAAGAAACCCTCTCCATATTCTCCTCTTTCCTTCCTCTTTCCTATTTTATATTTGCTTTGCTCTACTGCCTTTGACTTTGTCAAGCCAATGGCTGGAGGATATGAATGAGAAAATGCTGTAAAATGTAACACCTCAATGATTTTAACTGTCATACTGCCAAGGCAGTTTATTCTGTGAAAGTTGAGCATGTTAAAGGAGCTTATTCTACAAGTTTTCATAGAGTTAAAAACTCCCTTTCTACCCTTGCCCTCAAAAAAAAAAAAAAGTTGAAATTTCTGCCCTATTTGCTTCTCAGTTTGGTTTGAAATGATACAGTTTGTAGGATGGCATGTTATTATTTTAAGAGAATGAAGATCCTCAGTGATATCAGATGGTTGAATTAGATGGCCATTAAGTTCTCATTCATCCTTTGAGAGCCAATGATTCTTATGTGGAAAACACAGTTCATTCCCACTGCCTACTATTTGATTTCTACACCCAAGTGCATGGAAAATGCTGCAGAAAAGTATAATATCTGCCTTTCATTGTTTCTCTGTATTTTTTATTTATTTTTTTTCTCTGTATTTTTTAAATGCCTGAGATGGAAGTATCTACAATCATATTTCACATTGGATTTTCCCATTTAGAAAGCCAATCTCTGTTGAGTAAACTAGTTATAATAATACATGATACTTTACTATAGTTTATCTTTTTAGAAATTATCTTGTATCCAGATTACCTAGATTATTTTTTTTTAAAGATTTGATTTATTTATTCATGAGATACACACAGAGAGAGGCAAAGACATAGGCAGGGGGAGAAGCAGTCCTCTCAGGGAGTCGATCTGGAACTCATCCCAGGACTCTGGGATCGTGACCTGAGCCAAAGGCAGACACTCAACCACTGACCATCCAGGTATCCCAGATTACCTAGATTATTAAATTTTCGTGTGTGATCCTTCATCTGCATTAATCCATTATCCAACTGAAATTAATTTTCTCTTCCTCTTTCCTTCATCCCATTTCAGAATCATGTACCTTCAAGCAAGAATTAATATAAAGATTTGTGGCTACCCAGATGCAAATGCACAAAGAATGCACCTGGTTCCACCACTGAGAAACCTCTCCTGTTATCCTGTTTCAAAGGCCAGCTACTGAACTGTTTATATTCAAAGTTCATTCAAGTACAGGGCTCAAATGGTAAATCCAAATAGAAAAAATCTTATAAAACTGAGGCAAATTTCAGCCAAAAATTAAAAGTTGTGGATGATGGTATACTGGTTATCAATGGAAGGAATGTAAATAAAATGAGTTAGTAAAATCCTTTTAGTAAAAACAACTCATCAACAGAGTTGTCCTAAATGGGGGGCGGGGGGGGGGAGACAGGAAGAGGCACCATAAACTGTAAAGATGTTGGGGCATGCAAACTACTAAGCAGAAAGTATACACTCGGTATTTTCCAACAATTTTTCTAACAATGCTTTTGCATAGTCTCCCTAATAACTCTACCGAGATCATGTCAGTTATTTTAGTAATTTATGGTTGCAGTCTTGCCAAATGTTTACTATGCTAGAAGGAAGAGAATTGGCACTTTGAGTCAATAAAGATTGTCCAATTACATGGGCAGGGTCAGAAGTCAGAACAGTATGCTTTTATCAGGAGCACCTCTAATCAGAAAAAGGAGAATGTTCCCACTGGAAAAAAAATAGGATAAGGGCATAAACTGATATCATCATAAGAGAATAAATACTAACAACAACAGGAGAAGTGTTTAGTCTTATTTGTGGTTAAGGAAATACAAAAGAAGACAAGAGGATACCCCCCTCTCATCCTTCAGCAGAAATAAAAAAGGGTAATTATAATACAGAGCATGAGTGGGGTGCAGGATACAGGGGGAAAAATCCTCTTGTATATTGTTAGAGAGCGGGTAAAGTGGCACAACTTTCCTACAGGACAATCTTAAATATGCTTTAAAAAGTGCATTAACTCTTTCAACCTAGCTATACTAGCTCCAGAAATTTATTCAAGGAAATCACTATTCATTGGAGCCCTATTTATAATATCTCCCTTTCTTTTGCTTTCATTTTTACTTCTCTGTATTTTCTATTTTTTCTACAGTGATTCGGGGAAGGGGAGGTTAATTCTAAAATTAAAGAAACTGTACAAGCTCATCTTCCACTACAATTATCCTGTTTTCCTTACTGGGGTAGACTGGGACAAACACTGCCCTTTCACTTTGCTAATGATGCCTTTGGGCATTTCTTGAGCAACCCAAGTCAGCCTCATTGCTTCTTTCCTGCTGCTTCTGCTGCTAAATTTCAAAGGAATCTTTCCTTAGGCATCATTTTCATAATGAAACGTTTGTAAAGTGTCTCCCAGTGCCTCAAAGATTTTGCTTTCTTTTCTTTTGTTCGTCCCATTGATAAAATCCAGAAATCGCCAGAAAGTGCTCTGTGTCCACCTTCCTGACTTAGTAGTCTCCTTTGTTTTTCTATTTATTGAATGGAACTCAAATTTCTGTTAAGTCAGGTAAAGGGAAAACTCCTAGAACTGAAGAGCCCCCACTTAAAATGCTCGAGTGGGTTACACAGGTCACAAGCATTTCGGTGGAAGCTGGCTTCCTCCCTCCCCAGGCTTGGGGAAGGGACCAAAAGGTAGAGGGTGAAAAGAGTGTGCCTGAGGGATGATTGCGCCTCCATCAGAAAAAGCTGGTACAGTAAGGCTGAGCATGTGTAGGTTCTAACAGGTGCACAGGCTTGGCCTCCCCCCAACAGGGAAAAGGCCTCTCCAGGCACCCCACGGGGCCCCTGCCTTCCCAGACTGGCTACTTTGCTTTTGCCCTCCTCTTTAATCATCCACCCTCCCTAAGAGAGAAGCACGATGTGTAAGCACCTAAGGGTGAAGGGAGGCACAGAAACAGGGCTCCCTATAATCCAACAGGGGCACCCCCAAGGGACCTCGGAGGCTGCCCCAAACCACTGGTTCGCCAGGACTTGGAATCGTCGGCATCGCCCCCAGCCGCGTCCGTCCCGGGTCCTCCGGGTTTGCCTTCTTCTAACTGCTGACAGAGGACCTGGGATTCGAACTTGGAGCCCTACCCCACGTCAACATTCCTCGTTCAGGCTGGAGGGAGCCACCTCCCCGCGGTTTCCAGGCAGTCTCGAGGCTTCCCGGGTTATTTCCTTTTGCGTCGTCGCCCGTTGTGCAGCCCGCGGGGCTCCGCAGACCCGGGGCCTCGGCCTCACGTCCTGCCGCAGGGCCCTGACGCCGGCGCCGTGGGCGGGGAGTGAAGCCCACGGGAAGGGCCGCCCTCCCGCCTGGGGACAGCGGCTCCTCGGGCCGGCGGCGCGTCTGGGGTCGGCGGTGCGCAGCCGCCCGCCCTCCTCCGCCCTCCTCCGCCCTCTAGCCGCGGGCCTGGGTGCGGCGGCCCCGCGGGGCTCGGGCTCCCCGGACGGGGGGCGCCGTGCGCGGGGGGGCGGGGGGCGGGGGCGCCCTTCTCTCCGCGAGTCCCGCCAGATGCTGCGAAGGCAAACAATGGGGGAGCCGCGGGGAAACAAAAGGCCGCTCGTCCCATCCCCACGGGCTCGGAGCCGTGGCCCCTGCGGGGAGGACATGGGAGGCGGCCAGGAAGGTGGGAGAAGGGGGAGCGGGGGGGGGCGGGACTCACTTGCCAGGCTCCAGAAGTCCGAGGGGGTCCCGGGGCAGCGAGGACGATCCGCGGGACTTGTGTTTGACAGCTGGGGCCCGGGGGTCCCGTCCCTCCCTCCTTCCCTCCCTCCGCTCCCCTCCCCGCGCCCCGCGCCCCGCGCCCCGAGCGCCGCGCTCCCGCCCGCGCGCACTTTCGCAAAAAGTTTGTCTCCCGCCGCCCGCAGCCCGACGGACGCGCGGCAGGCGCCCTGCGCTCGGGACGGCTCCGGGGCGCCCCCGGCGCGTGCACACTCGAGGCCCCGGAGCCCGGGCTGCGGACGGGCCCCCGCCCGGGAAGGGCGCGCGCGGGCAGGGGCGGCCCGGACGAGCGCGGCCCCGGAGCGCAGCCCCCAGGTGCGCCCCGCTCCCCGGCCCGCCGGCCCCGCGCGGGCTCTCACTCACCGTGGGGCTCGCACCGTCAGCCCGCGGCCCTGCAGGCTCCTGCGCCGGGTCAGCCGCGGCCGGCTCCCGAGGACCAGGGCGAGCCGGGGCGGGCGACGTTTGCGGATCCAGATGGCGCGCGCGGCGGCCAGGAGCGCGCGGGCGGGCGGGCGGGCGAGCGAGCGCGGGGCAGGAGCTCCGGCCGCCGCCGCTCCCGAGTAGCCCCCGCAGGCGCCAGCGTGCGGCCCTCGCGCGGGGGCGCCGAGCGGGGCGGCGGGGGGAGCCCCCTGGCGGCCGCCCGCGAAATGGCAGCTCCGAGGGCGAGGCAAGTCAGGTCGCGGCGAGGCTCCACTTGCCTCCCGCAGAGGATGGGGGCGGGGGCGGGGGCCGGGGCGGGGCGGGGCGGGGCGGGGGGCACCGCGCGGTGTACGCGGGCTCCCCGCCTCGCCGCGCAGCAGACCCTCTCACCAGCGCGGAGAGGGAGGTAGCGCATCAGGAGGGGAAGTCACCTCCTCCAAGACCTTCCGACTCGTTGAAAGAACATTCTTAATAACAGGAGTCACTAGATCGGAGCTTCCTAAGGAAAATAATGTCTTCCACATCTTTTTATTCCTCTATAGCACCTTAACACGTGTTGATGGAGGAGTACCAAGCGGCTAAGTATTGCATTTTACGATTCTAACTGGACACTTGAAAGAGGTATTGAA